TATATATATAGAGAGAGATATATATATATTTATGTTTAAATGATTGCAGAATTTTGTTTTTCTTTACTATCTTCTTCAGACCCCTACCCTACGAGACACTCACTCAGCTAATAGATGAAGCCAGTGAAGGAGACATGAGCATTTCAATCCTTACACAGGTAAGAATTTAAAACTTAATCTGGTGATTGATTTATTAAAGTTTATTTTCAAGTGATTTTCAGTTTGCAAAGATGACACAATAAGCTTTGTGAGGCCTGGGCCATGATTTTTATCTATATTCATTCTGTGCGCAGGAAATAATGGTATATCTAGCCATGTATATGAGAACCCAGCCTGGCCTCTTTGCTGAAATGTTTCGACTTCGAATTGGTCTGATCATACAAGTTATGGCAACTGAACTGGCCCAGTCCCTTCGATGCTCAGGTATTCAACTCAATAACTACTTTTAGGCAGAATTCAATTGTAATGTAGCAGTGGAGTTTGAGATTAGGAGGGAAAGAAAGCTAAAACATTTTTTACACATAGCTCAGAAGCTGTTTATGGCAATCTTGTTCCCATGTTGGTCAGTCGCTACTTATACAAGTAAAACAACTGATAGGACAATCTTTGTATATTGATACTGCAGCTTTAAAACATCACCTCTTAGGGGCTCTGCACTCGAAGTTCTTTTTAACTAACAGCTTAGCTCACTTCATTCCTCCTAACCTCTGGAGTGCTCCAGAGAGTACTTGAGTATGACAGATTATATTGGATTCTGATTCATGCAGTGGAGGCTGAGAGATATAGCTTAGTGATAGAGTTCTTACCTAGCACACAGAAGGCCCTGGGTTCAATCCCCAATACAAGGAAGCAAGAAACAAGATGCAGATCTGGTTCATGTAGTGGAGCTCCAGGATACCAGGGTTGAGTTGCTACATCAATGGATAATAGCATCAGAATTCTGTCTAGCCAACATTGTGATCAAATAAAGAAAATAATATTTTTGCTAACATGTAACAAAACTCTCTATGAAATGTACTATAGGTACATTTGTCAAGATAATAATTTTAGTTGGGATAAAATAGGCCCTGTAGAAGCTGTAGACAAAAAAAAATGTGTAAAGTGTGGGGAAAAAAGGACCCCCATGACATGATTCAGTTTTCCATTGATATTTATTTTATTTAAGCAAGAATGGAAAAATAACTGTGATAAGGTTGGCACAGAAAAATAAAATAACAATTGCAAAATTCAAATTTGAAACTCATTCTTTGAATTAAAATTCCTCAAAAAGCTTTTAATTGAACCCTTAATAAATAGCTATATGAATTGGTTTGAGTCAACCTAAATCAAGTACATGATATAATTTATATTTAACCCTTTAAAAAGAGCTAACAATTATTTTATAAATAGCATATTCTGGACTCTGTGCTTTTTCCTTTATATTTGTGTACATTGCTTCATTGAATCCTTATAGTTACCACCTAAGTAATTTGCCCAGAGTAACATAGCAAGTAAATAACAAAATTTGGGTCCAAGTCTGTCTGATTTCAAATGATTTCCAGTTCATTACATTGTTAGAAACAAGTGCATTATATAGTATTCTCCAGTTGTGGTAGCAAGAAATATCTTATGAGAGGATGTGGTTATTCAATAATAAACCTCAGCAAGGGATACACTCTTGAATCTTCTTTGTTTCTCCCTAATTGCCTATAATGGACATATTCTCTCTGTAGATTCATAAGAACGATGGCTGTTTGTTTATTACTGGGTTTGATATTCAAGATCCTCAACAGTCTGACCTCTACCTACTATTTTAACAGTATTCTCACTAATTTTATCAATCCCTATCCTGGAAGACTGATTGATATCGCCTCTGATTTTCTAAATACTTATTGTCTATATATCTCACTTGGCACATACTTCATACAATGTTTTCTCGTTGCTTATCTTGTTTACATGTTCCACTACCCCAGCTAGATGATCAGCCTCTCAGGGTCAGGTACCATGTCATATCTGTTTGTACTAACATTCCTTAAAATGATTGCTTAAACTCTTATTAAGTGTCTGATATTGATGAACACTTTCAAGTAATCCTCTAAAGAGCCTTCATAATTTTATAGATTCACATCTGTTCTTTTTTACCTTTATGTATTTCTAGACTGAGAAATTTTAAATATTTGCATCTATCTGCATGCACACATATATTCATTGCCTTTCACTGAAACCTCCAGTTCCATTGTTCTTTTGTTCTCCCCACCCTCAAAGATTCTGCTGAGAGTAGAAGTGGGATGGTGCATAAATGGGATGAAGAAGAAATCAAAAACCTCACTAATCCACAAACTGGATAGTCACCGCTTCAATAATTGAGAATCTATTATAATACGAATAGCTAAGTGTAGAGTGTTAGAAATATTTTTTGTGATTCTTCCCTTCCAATCACACAACTCAGAAATTTAAAACAAGAAAGAAAATAGAGGATCTGCAAATTGATGATACGAATGGATAGTCTTGGTAGGGGCAGGGATGAACTCAGTGGTAGCATATGTGACTAGCATGTGCCAGGTCCTGGGTACAAGCCCAGGTGCTACAGAAAAGGAGAGTAGAGGAGAAAGGAAGGGAGGGGCTGGGAGGAAGAAAGAAAGAAAAATAAGGAGTGTAGCAGGCAAATTAGAATTCCTTCTGTCCTATGTTAATGCTGACTAGCTGAAGAAGCCAGAGAGGGTCTGATGAATCTCAGTCCGTCAGCCATGAAGAACCTCCTGCACCACATTCTCAGTGGCAAGGAATTTGGAGTGGAGCGAAGCGGTAAGAATAAATGTTTTTCAATTTCCAAGTGTTTCGATCAAGTGTCTCATTAGTTTGAAAATATATATATTTTTATTAGGGAAACATTTTGCCTCAAATAAGTAGAACTTCAATACTTAAAACAGTTAAAAGAAAAGCTTTTGGAGGGAACAAAATTTGAGAAGCATTATGAGTCTCGTTCATTCCTTAAATAATAGATCAACTAAGTAGAACAAGTATTATCTTGCATCATTTTAAATATTTTGTCCATTTCTTTACATTAGCCTAAGTCAAACACAGCTATTAATCCACATTTTGTGGACCTTTCTTGTATTCTGATTGGTAATAAATCAGTGACACGGTGTTTTTTGGGTGTATATGTATGTGTAATCTAATGTATCATTTTCAGCCTTAAATTCTAATATGTCTAGGAGATGATAACAAACTAATTTTTGTCAGTACAGGTTTGTCATACAAAATGATTAATAATGATCATGGTACGTGTACATAACACATCTTCATTTCTTTTTTCTTCCCCTTCCCTCCCTCTCCCTTGAACCTCCCTCCATCTCTTGATCCCCTTCCCATTTGAGAAAGATCTACCTCTACTTCCTATTATCTATATTTTATTTTGATCTTTATTTTTCAATTTTGGTTTTTCATATAAGCTAAACCATTAGATATTTAAGCTTATGTGTCTGATTTATTTCACTTAGCATTGTGATCTCAAGGTGCATCTATTTCTTACAAATGACTCATTTGTCTTTTTAATGGCAGAATAGTACTCTGTTGTGAAAAAAAACACATTTTCTTTATACATCCATCTGTTGATGGATTTAAAGGTTGTTTCCAAGATTCACCTATTATGAATTGTGCTGCTATAAACATGGATATGCATACATCACTGTGATACGATATCTTGAAAACTTTAAGAAAAATAGCTATAAGGAGAATAGCTGGATCAAGTGGAATTTCTTTTTCTAGTTTTTTGAGGAATCTCCATACTGATTTCCATAATGGTTTTACCAGTTTACATTTCCATCAACCATGAATCACAGAAGGGTTCCTTTTCCCCTGCACCCTTGCCTATATTTGATGTTATCTGATTTCTTGATGAAAGCCATTCTTTCTGGAGTAAGATGGAATCTCAGTGTTGTTTTCATTTGCATTTCTCTAATAGCCAGGAATGTTGAACATTTTTCATGTATTTATTGATGATTTGTATTTCTTCGTCTGAGGACTGTCTTCACTTCAGTAGCCCATTTTTTGGTTTTTTTGTTTGTTTGTTTGTTTTGATTTGTTTATGGAGACAAATTACTTGAAAAAATATTCATTTTTTAAAAGCTTAAGATCAGCAATAAATGCTTGCAAGTGATGTAGAGATTGTTATTGAAAATTATCTGAAAGATATAGATGCCACTGTAACTGCAAAAAAAGCCAAACCCATAGCCAGGCATGGTGTCATACGCCTGTAGTCCCAGCTCTTGGGAGGCCAAGGAAGGAGGATTGCTACAAATTCAAAGCCAGCCTAGGCTACATAGTGAGTTCAAGGACAGCCTAAACTGCATAGCGAGACACTGTCTCAAATAAATAAATAAATGCCAAAACCATCATGACATTTTGCACACTCTGTACAAATCAGCTGACTTTATGTATAAAATATTTTTTAAAAATTCAGGAATATAGATAAATGTCTTTTAATTTAATGAAATAAGTAAATTTATTAATTATTGTACATTTTAATTGGTATGAATTGTATTAGGTAATACTTATATTTGGGTAGTAATTATTCAAACTTAAGCAACTAACTAGATTCTGTCCGTTTATAGACTTTTTATTAATTCTATTAGTAAAAAGACTAAAAGACTGATAAAAGTGATGAGATCTATCTGTACCACCAGTGGTACAGGCTGCCCAATGGAACAATCATTCATGTAGCCCTAGTGCTTCAAACCAATGAGAATGTGTCAAAGAGACTGGCCTGTAGTTTTCTTTTTTTATTGGATTCTTTTCTGGTTTAGGGATTAGGGTAATGCTAACCTCCAGAAAAGACATTAGAAATATTCCTTTTCATTAAGAGTTTGAGTAATATTGGCCTTCTATATTCCTGAAGTTCTTAATAAAATTCAGCAGTGACTCTTTCAGGACCTGGGCTTTTCTTAGTTGCTAGTTTTCTTATTCTTCTCCAATTTCATTGCCTAATATTGGATTATTCAGGGGTTTTATGTCTTCTTGATTGATTTTGGTAGTTCATATATATCTAGAAATCTATTTCTTCTGAATTTTCCATTTTATTGGAGTACAGATTTTCAAAGTGGTTAATAATAATCTTCTAAATTTCAGTGATGTCAGTTGTGGTTTCACCTTTTTCATTTCTAATTGCATTGATTTGAGTCTTTCCTTTTTTATTAATATTGCCTAGAGGTTTGTCTAGCTTTATTCTTGCAAAGAACCAGCTCTTTGATTCATTGATTCTTTATTATTTGTGTCAATTTTATTAATTTCAGCTCTGATTCTTATTGGTACATGTTGCTAGTACATTATGGTTACACTCATCATGAGGAATTGGTACAGGCACATGACATTTCTCGATTACTTTTTTAACTCCTCCCCTCCCTCCCCCTCTCCGTACCTCTTGGACTCCTTCAGTCATTCATATATATAATATATTCATATATGTGTGTGTCGTATATATGTCATATGTATACTACATATATGTAGTATATGATAATTATATTCCTCATGGGGACTTTGTGCATGTACACAGCCCTTCACAATCTCCCCTTTTGCATTAGTTATATTTCCCTCCCATATCTTTCAGTTTCCTTCCCATATGCCAAAGATTCCTCTTGCTATTTCCTACTGTCTATTCTTTATTTTGCAGTTTATTTATATATTGCGGTTCTCATATAAGAGAAACTATGCAATATTTAAGTTTGTGCACATGATTTACTTCACCTAACATTATGATCTCAAGGTGTATCCACTTTCCTACAGATCACTAAAGTTTATCCTTTTTATGACAGAATAGTACTCCACTTTGTATAAATACAACATTTTCCTTTCTCCATTCATGTGTTGATGGACATTTAAACTGTTTCCAAGATTTAGCTATTGTAAACTGTTCTGCTATAAACATAAGTATGCATATATCTCCGTAATATGATATCTTTAATTCTTTGAAGAAGATACCTAGAAGGAAAATAGCTGAGTCAAGTGGAATTTCTATTTTTAGTATTTTGAGGAATTGCCATACTGATTTCCATAGTAGTTATGCCAGTTTACACTCCCACAACAATGAATAAGGGTTCCTTTTTCCCCACAGCCTCTCCAGCATTTGTTGTTATTTGATTTCTTGAATATAGACCAGTGATGGTGAACCTTTTAGAGCTTTCAGTGATGCAAACAATCTGCTGTGGCAAGTATGCCATAGGTTCACCACCACTAAATGATAGACATTCGTTCTAGAGTAAGATGGAATCTCAGCGTTGTTCTAATTGCCTTTTTCAAATGGCCAGCAGCGCTGAACATTTTGTCATGTATTTATTTGTTGGCCTTTGGTGCTTCTTCATTTAAGAAGTGTCTATTTCAGATACCCATTTTTTGATCAGGTATAAAAATTTGAGGGCTGTAACTTTTTTTGAAATTTTATGCAAAAATTTTCCCATCTGTAGGTTGTCACTTCATTCAGTCGGTGGTTTACTTTGCTGTGCAGAAGCTTTTTAACTTGTTGTGAACTCATCTGTTGATTCTTTTTTCCCCCGTACCAAGGATCGAACTCAGGACCTTGCACTACTAAGGCAGGTGCGGTGCCACTGAGCTAAATCCCCAGCTCTCCCATTTGTTGATTTTTTATATTATTTCTTGTGCAACCAGGGCTCTGTTCAGAAAGTCCTTGCCTATGTACATCTTCAAGAGTTTTGCCTATTTTGCCTTTCAGCAAATTCTGTTGTAATATTTACATCTGTGAACCATTCTGATTTGGTTTCATATATGGTGAAAGAAATGGGTCTAGATTCAATCTTCAGCATAGGGATAGTTTTCCCAGTACCATTTGTTAAAGAAACTCTTTCTTCCAACAAAAATATTTGGCACTTTTGCCAAAGACAAGGTAGCGAATGTTCTTGGAGTTGTTTGTACATACTCTATCCTGTTGTCTTAATCTAAATGTCTGATTTTTTGCCACTACTATTTTTTATCACTGTAGCTTTATAGTATAACTTGAAGTCTGAGACTGTGATACCTCATGCCTTTCCTTTCTTGTTCAGGATAGCTTTCTCTATGCTAGGTCACTTCTGGTTCCATATGAATTTGAGCATTGTTTTCTTTAGTTCTGGGATAATGCTATTGGTATTTTGATATATATATATATATACACACACACACACACACACACACACATCAGTTTTGGGAGTATGGCCATTTTGACTACATTGTTTCTGCCTATCCAGCCAGGCACAGGACATGTCTTTTCACTTTCTGATATATATCCTCTTCAATCTCCTTTGTTTTCATTGTAAAGTTCTTTCACTTCCTTGGTTAGGTAGATTCCTGTGTATTTCATTTTATTTGATGCTGTCGTGAAAGGTGTGGTTTCCCTAATTTCCCTCAGTAAGTTTGGCATTGGTGTACAGGAACATTATTGTTTTTTGAGTGTTGACTTTGTATTTTGCTACTATGCTGAACTTGGTTATTAATTTTAGGAGTCTTTTGCTGGAGTTGTTAGAGAGTTTTCTATGTAGAGAGCCATGTCAATCACAAATAATACTAATTTAACTTGCTTTCCTATATTATACCCCTTTTGTTTTTTTTTCTTTCCTGATTTCTCTGGCTAATGTTTGGGATTTTTATTGAACAGTAGCAGTGATAGCAAATATCCTGTCTTGTTCTGATTTTAGAGTGAAAGCTTTCAATTACTCTGTATTTAATATAATGTTTACCATTAGTTTGTCATAAATGATTTTTATCAGATGGAGATAAGGTCATTCTATGCCTATTTTCTTCAGGGTTTTTATCAAGAA